AGAACCTGATGCAGGGCTTAAACTCATGAACCGTGAGATCATGACTTGAGCTGAAGTTGGATGCTTAATTGACTGAGCCACCCAGGTGCCCCATATTTTTAAAACAAATCAATATTTAACCACTCTTCTAGTTGACCAATATTTTCTTTTCCTTTTCTTTCTTTTTTTTTTTTTTTAACCACCTCACGTTAGACATTATTATTGGCATTATCATTATTTTATACAGGTCTGATTTACTCAGATGCTTACCAATGTCTTTGCTCACCATTCCTTCTTGCATCTCAGACCTCCTTTCTGGTACCATTTTCCTTCTTCCTAAAGTAGAATTTCCTTAAGTGAAAATCTGTTGGAGGCAAACTCTATTTTATCTGAAAGGTCTTTATTTCACCACTGTTTTTTTAAAGATAGTTTCACCAGACATAAAATTCTAGGTTGATAGTTTTATCACACTGACCATATTAAGTCCTCCTCTTCTAGCTTCCATTGTTGCAGTGAGAAATGTATCATTCTCATTGATTGTGGTTTCTTGTAGGTGTGATTGACTTGTCTTTTTTTCTCAGGTTCTTTAAGATCTTCTCCCTTGGTGTTTTGCAGTTCGACTATGACATGACTTTATGTGAATTTCCTTATCCTGTTTGGCATATGCTTCCTGTTTCTATAGGTCCATTTCTTAGTTTTCAAAATTTCTCACTTTTTATCTCTAAGAAATTTGACTCTCCTCCGTTTTATTTTTTCCTTGTGGGACATCAATCTTTCTTATTCTAACCCCCATATCTTTAACTCTCTTTCATATTTTCCATTTCCTTTGTCTCTAAATTGCTTTCTGAAGAGTTATTTTATATCTGGCTTCCAATTTTCTCTCTCCATCTATATCTAATGTGTAACCATGAGATTTTGATTTCAACTTTGATTTCTAAAAGTTCTATGTAGTTATTTTTCACATTTGCTTGCTCACTTGTGATCAGTTCTTTTTGTTATTCATTTTGTGATTCTTTTATTTCTTTAAAAATGTCATAGATATTTTATATTGTCTGGTCATTTTAATATCTGAGGTCCACGAATGACCTATTATTTGCTATTTCTGCTGTTTCTTTCTTGTGGGTATTTGCTTCTTTGTACATTTGGCATTTGATTAAGAAGTGGCTCATATTCAATTTTTTTTGGTGTGAATCTATGAGATCCTGGAGGCCTAAATTAAAGATGTCTTCTTTCAGAGAGGAAGAGCTATATTTGCTTCTGCTGAGAATCAGGCATAGGGAGGGGGGGATTGGAGGACTGCCACACAACTGGGACCACATTTATTTTATTTTTTAAAAAAGATTTTATTGTATATATATTTTTAAAGCTTATTTATTTATTTTGAGAGAGAGCACATGCAGAGGAGGGGCAGAGAGAGAGAGAATCCCAAGCAGGATACACATTGTGCAGGGCTCAAACTCACAAATGGTAAGATTATGACCTGAGCCAAAACCAAGAATAGGATGCCTCAGATGCTGAGCCACCCAGGCACCCCAAAAGATCTTATTTTTAAGTAATCTTTATACCCAATGTGGGGTTCAAACTCACAACCCTGAGATCAAAAGTCACTTGCTTCACTGACTGAGCCAGCTAGGTGCCCCCAACTGGGATCATATTTAGACCTAGCTTCCCCGTTTTATTTCAACACTGCAGTTTATTCCTGACTACCCAATTCCTGGATGTCAGGACTGATTTGGTAATTTGTCCTAGGGCAATCTGGTTTTCTCATCTGTTTATTGATCACCTCTGGGATTTTAAGTTTGATTAAAAATATTTCAAATGCTCCTCCAGTCCAAATTCCTTAGGATAGCACTCAAGCTAAGAAAATGCTCACTGGTCTCTCTCTGACCCCTTCTCCTTGAACACTAGGGCTTAACTTTCCAGAACTATTTTAAGTTGGTTTATCTTTTTTAGTAATCTCTGCACCCAACACGGGGCTCAAACTCACAACTGTGAGACTGAGTTGGATGCTCCTCCAACAGAGCCAGAACTATCTGAGCCACCAGAACTATCTGAGCCCCCCAGAGCTATCTGAGCCCCCCTCTAGAACTATCTGAGCTCCCCCCCCAGAACTATCTGAGCCCCCAGAGCTATCTCAAGTACGCTTAATGTATCATTTTTGCCTACCGGCCTTTGTACACATTGTTCTCTCTGTCCAGAAGAACCAATATCCTTCTTCCCCCAACTCCCCTTGTTCTTAAGGATGGCTTCCAGAAATCACATCTTCCATGTACCTTCTCTAACCATGTCTTCCCTTCAACTCCACCCTCTAGGTTAGGTTCCCCGCCTGGGTGTGCCTATATATACTTCTCCCTTATCATTTGTTTTATCACATTGTAATCAATTGTCCATGGTAGACTATAAATTCCTTAAGGAGAGAGTATCTGACTGATACACAGTATTTCTCAATAAATGTTTCTTGACAGTGTAAATTTAGGATTGAAAGTAAATATGTTAACCTTAAACAAAAACAAAAACAAAAAACAACCCAAAACAAAACAGA